ATTTTACCACAAATAGAAGCTCACTATAGCTACTTTTCTACCGTCAAGACAAGCACACTCTCACTTACGAATCTTGCGAACCATATAGGGACAGTTTAGAGCAGAATTCTTTTTAACTGGTTCCCAATGCTCATAACACTCAGTCTTATTACCCAAACACGAATTTACCGAACCATCAGGTGCCCGGATGACTAAATCGAAGCCGTTCATACCTTAAGAGCACTTTTAATAAATCGTTCTTTAAGATATCCAATGAGAAATCCAAAAAGTTTCTTACGCCATAAGGAAGCCAATACCACTACTGCAGGTTTGTCGATAATTTAGGACCCGGTTCTTGCTCGCGATTCATCATTTACTATATCCGCCCTGTTAGTTTACATAGATTACTCTAGAAATCTCTTCTTTGCTACTTCAGTGCCTTCTCAGCTGGCCAAACACATAAATTCACTCATTCACTGGCAGTATTTAGGTTACACTCCACTAAGGAAAAAAATGGTTCTAAACTCGAACTGGTGACAGAGGCGGTACCCTAGATTAAGTTAGTGATGTTGTAAACAAACCAATGCGTTTCCAGACTCATTCGCAGGCCGACATCTTTCCCTGCTGACAAATTTGTTAAACTCAAATAAAGATTATAACAGTCTTCAAGCGATTGATTGACTTATACTACATATGCATGCTAGAACCGGACTAATTGAGGAAACGGTAAATTATTGTTGAGAGGCTTTTGGCCCTCCACGTATCACATCATGCTGAAGTCGTCAGTTTCGTGATAGTGTTGTAATGATGAGTATTACAATGATAGTTACTTATATGTACGACGTTGAAAGATGACAGTCACGGATAGAGTGTATCGTTATAGACGGAAAGTACTATTTTTCGACATTTTGGAACACTCACACATCCCATTACATTGATATTTTTTATATATACTATTAAGCCTAAGGCAAATTAGGATTAACATCCAGTCGTTAATTACCATTCTCATTAACGCGTCGCGTATAATAAAAGCTCAAATATTTTTTGTAATAGATGCGCGTATACTGGTAGGAAATAGCAAGTTGTGTACTCTTGCGAAAAGGTTTAAAAAAAAAAAAAAAGATCGTATTTTTAAGTCGTTTAAAACAGAACTATAATTCGTCATGCATAGCGTGAAGTAAAAGTCTCTTCATAGTTTCAGAGTCTTTATATCGTATCCGTTGAAGAGTTATGGCAGTAAAGTGCGGGTTTAACAGCATAACCCACCTTTATATTAATTTGTAGCTATACCGTTATGTTGCTAGCTATTTAAAATGCAAAGGTCGCATCATTCATCAATTAGAGCCGTCGTCATCCGAAGGTTGGTTTGACAAATTTTTGAATACCCTGTAGTATATTTATTAGTACCATCAGGCTGTAGGGATGGCATTAGGGGGCCTCTGTTGCAAAAGTGTTGCACGGTTAAATCCGCTCGTCTTTACAATCATTTTCGTCAAACTCTCCAAGCATCAAGAGACTCCTTTCCGACCAATTAGATACCCTCGGATACCACTGTATATACGTACGACTTATCACGACTCCGTTTATTAGCTCTAATTTCGAATTGGAGAATAGTCTGTTTATTGCAGAACCTTTTGTTGTCGCAACATAGGAACTTGAAATAAAAGGATATGCAGTGAGATCTAAGTCGTTGTTTCAAAAGTGATTATGATTTTAGGATGAATTGTTATCAGAGGATCTGAAGATAAATCTGCTATAGAAAGACTTTCATACACGATTCGCTACCGGACAGGATCGAAAAGTCAACAACGTATTTTAAATTAAAAATAAGAAAGCTATCTCAGTCTGAGCTCAGTTGGCCAATGCCAAGTGAATACGTTTTTCATCTGCAGGTCATGTAAAAATCGTTGTGGTAAACATTCGATTTCGCACACTGCGTTTCGAGGAAGCGCTGAACCCTACTATCGCGCGGAAAGTGGTGTCGTTAGAAAGATCACTGAGAGAAGACGATTGTATGCTGCAAGCTGGACGCTCCCGCCGTGTCGCACTTGCGATGGCGGACTTTTTTGAAATTTCTAAATTGTCTTCGCGTCGACTTAACCACATAGAACGATGTCGAAACGGTTACCTAACCTTGCGATGCGCTCGCTTAAAAGCTGAAGAGTCATCATATGAATTGAGTCTCAGGACTTTCCTGCCTGCTCTGCGTATACCATGAAATTTTATAGACTTCAGGCAAAGTAAGTCAATAAACGATGAGTAATAACAAAGGAACCATTATGGGATATGTTTCAAATTCGGTGGCTACGTCCGTTCATTAACGCGATAGTAATCCACAGCGGATATAGCGATCGCTATCACAACCGGAATACATGCACACAAAATACACCAAAAGCAAAGTCAGTGGAGTTGGCTTTTCGTTTTAAGAAGAGACAATGTTTGCTTGTTTTCGTTACTTACACTCGCAATGCCGTAGGCAGCAGAAGGTGGAGCATCGTATCGTCTCATTTCAGCCAACACCATTATCCTGCTTTTTGTCGTTGCTTCGGGAATGCGCTACGGAAAACCCAACAAAATAGGTAAAAAGCTATTCCGAAAATCCACCGTTTTTGAACCACTTTAAAACATTTAGAAAATCTTTTAACAAGTACGTTTCAATATCAAGACTTAATGCTATACTCTCAGTTTAAAAACACTGTTTCGGTAGATCTAACACAATGAAGATTGATAAAGTCTACTGTTATAACTATTTATAATGTGTCAAAGAAAAAAAATTACATATATAGTGTCTTAAAAATGTATATATTTTTTTACCGTTGAATAAGTCATAATTCTTTTAATCGATTGAAAATAATAGGTAGATATTGAAAATATATCTCCAAATGATATTGGTGGTATGAAAATGTAGTGCAGATATCGCAGGGAAATTGCCTATGCAACTTGTACTTAATCGGATGAAAAACTGGTTTAAAACGAATAGGACTTTTGAGGATGTTCATGGACAACGTTCAGGAACGAAATTCATTAGTCAAAAAAAGGTAAAATATCCTAAACGAAGTTGTGAGCTTCGTATAATGTGTTCATAGCATTTCGGAGTGTTGTGAACAGAAAAGTGACATCTCAATGAAGATGTTCGAATGGTTCTTGGAAGGGAATTTTCAGGGAAGATTCTTTTTTAAAATTTAGATATTATATAACAGCTGCAGTACATAATTGCATTTACTGAAAATTGCACATGCACATCTCGCGAGCACTATATGTAAATTTACCTGAAATTACAATGTGGTGGAATATTCCCAACAAAGGACTAATTGAACCGCGAATTTTTTATAGTGCAATCACCAGTGTGAATTCCTTGAATTTATTATAATTATTATTTATATTTCACCACACATTTGAAGGGACCTTGGTAAAGATGGCAAATTTTTTTCCGATAGGACTGAGCATCTGCACATTATTATCATGATGTACGAGCATGTCATAGTAAAAATTTTCCGAAAAGTTGTGTTGCACAAAAAAATCCCATTGAATACCCCGAGCCATCTTCCAGAGCTGACGCTGATGGACTTTTCAACCGACGACATTGAGTTGTTTAAGGAGCGCTATTTAACCAGAATACGTTACAACACCAAACGAGACGTTTATTGAAGTCTGCTTCAGTAGGAATCAGGACACTTATAATTTGTGCGTCGAGAGGAACTGCTATACATGCTGTGTATTTTCCTTTGCAATTCTTTATTATATGTAAGTAAAACTGACGTTATATATATATATATATATATATATATATATGTAAAGCTGCACAATATTATAACAGCTGCGTGAAATTAAGATTATATTTGACTGAGTGTAATCCTAATATCATTATAGTTTTTCCACAGGCTGTCTGTGACCTCTTTGCGGTTTTACGTCAACATAAAATGTATTTGCTACATGCTCCAACATTTTTTGGTCAAACCTTTGTGAATGAGCATGTGATAGACCTCTAAATCAATTGAATTCTTCGATCTCAAGTTTGTGTGGAAGAATCCCGTTTAGTGCGGGCAGGGGGGTATGGGCACCCCTGTTCAGTGGAAACAATGGATCTGCGCAGTAGGTCGGCAGGCAACGATGGGTTTTACTGTCGACATACTACTCTAATCATGTCATCTACGCCTTAATATTTGTAACTTCTACAACGAGTCTTGTGGTTTGGCAAGCGGTAATTTAGATAAGTATTCTAAAGGCAAAAAAAAATGTAATGCAACTAAAATGATTTGACTTCAAGTTCAAACACGTAATTGATGATCGGTGATTGCTCTGGCAACCTGGAATTTGACAAAGCGTCTGTGGGATCAGTCCTGAACGAAAAGCCCATCGGAGATATCCAATAGATAACAAACTTAGCCGTTGTCGCCTTTAATAATCGCTGACAAATACCCTCATTTAGCTAAGCTTGAAAAATGGTGACATAAGTGGAATACAATAGGATTTATGATGATGAATAGGTCGACGTGCTCTTGGTCCGTAGTAACTAGAAAATAGTTCAACTGTATTACTTCACTTTTCTAAAATGCACGTATAGTGTTGCCAAGCTTCCTGGAGCCATGCTTCGCGGTTGTCCGTGACGTATACATGACAAAAGCATAATAAGGCATATAGGTAGACCGAACGTACACGCATAGATACGATCATCGATATGTTCATCTAACTTCTGTCCTATAATGACAAAAATATTACATATCGACTGATTCACAATTCGTAGAAAGAATTCTCTTAACGGACGATCAGCTGAATGACTGGTAGAGTTCAGATACGAAGTAGAAGCGTTCCAAATAGAACAAAAAAAGCTAGTTATTTTATTTGAGTCATTTCACAAGATTATCGCAGTACTGGATGGTATAGCTAGTGACCACATAATCATATCCGGAATCTGTACGAGAAATAGAAAGAAAATTTTGAAAAAAAACAAATGTATTAAACGTGAATTTCGAGAAATTCCGCAATAATAATAATCATAATATTATTGTTATGTATTGCAGGGTTCCGTGGTAGCTCTATTATATTGTTTCTGCAATGGTGAGGTACAATCTGAAGTGTACCGTCTTCTGCCAGAGGGACTTAAAAGGAAAATTCTCACTATGCGAAGGGCTCATAACCGAACACCGCTCACCCATGAGCGTAATTTAACCAGCCGCAACGGACACGCACAGGGTAAGCACTCGGCAAGGAAAAAATAAATTCCGAGACTAGACTAGAGTAATTTGTAATGAGATTTCAGGGATTTATTAGGCAGTGGCAGTTACTATATAGGAGAGACGTTTAGGTAGTGCTCATTGTCTTCGCAGTTTGCCTTAATACGTTGTACCGTTTTGCTATCTAAATTTGCCAGTAAAATGTCTGCTACTGGACCAAACCTACTAACAGCGAGAAAATTTGTTTTTGAAAAAAGCACTGTCGAATGGTTAATTTTATGTATAATGAAATGTGTGCTAACAACTGTTGATGTCTAATTGCAGACGAAAAATTTATCGTTCGTCATCGTGCACTCAACCCTGACGATAGCGGTTTAACTAAGGACAAGAATGAAATACCTCTCGAGATACGGATCATGGGCGAAGGAGCCGTTGAAGTCGAAGCGCGACTATAAAACTTTAAAAAACGCATTGTATTAATAAAATAATGCGCACTAGACTTTAAGCTTTCATCGCCAAAATCTTCTATAATGTCTAGCTAATGAATGAACGGCATTTATAGGAATGAAGAGGCAGCTAAAATCTCAATGCCATATTTTAACTGATGATTTCTACGAGTTTAACCAGCAAGGACCTCAAGCAAACCGAAACGAAGTACCAGCAACCCAGCTCAGTCTGTTCTAACAGAGGTGAGTCATACTTCTGTTGTATGAAATGTATAAAGAGAAATTATATGTATAAAGAATAGTGAAAACTAATCAGATCGTTTTCATATGCTAAGCGTTCAGCATTGCCCACCATTTCATTCTTAAATAGAAACAAAGCAAAGTAAGTACGTGTGAGAATCGCGAGGTCGCAAACGAAAACACTTAGAGTATTAACGTAACAACGCAGCATGTATTGAGAAGGCTAGGCGTCGCATTTAACATCGCCGCTCGATATGGGCAGCTTCAGGAGTTTTTGATTCCGCTTCTGGGTCAAAAAAGCGTCGTAGGATTGATACAGGCAAAATAGTTACACCACTGGTGGGCACGTTCTAGTATGGGCCACCTGAACTTTATGAAAGAAAATATAATTCTCTTTGTTTACACACTCAACTCTATTATCGGCAGTTCAATTAACGTTTACTATCTACCTTGCTTATAGAGCTTCTTGTTTTCTAATTTTAAGGTATTCTCTAGCTCACAGTCTTCTGCACAACAGGCTTAGACGCCAAAGATATCGATTGTAATTCCCGTCATCGATAATAGCAGATCATTCGCAGTAACTTACTTGCGTCCACGTTAAAAGACCGTTTACCCCGTTCCTTTTATCTTCCGTCTGGAATAGTTAAAGGCTCATTGTTAATCCTGAGACATATGCCTTGTCTACACAATTTCCCGAACAATTTGCATGGCTATGAACCTGTATTCTGACATAAGGTGATGGGACGTTGAACTAACAACCAGTTTTATGCTATAGGTACGCCATTATAGCCCTGACATTTTTTGTGATTAACAATAGTTACGCTGATAGGTTGAGAAATATACTGCGATTGTAAGCATTTTTTTCCTAAAGGTCACATGTCACACCCTAAAACTGGACCCGAAATAAACACCCAGTTCCTTTGATGAAGAACTCGATCGAAGTACACTTAGTTAAGTGTATTCAAGTTCTTAGTTTCAATGAGTTGTTATATACTAGAAATCTGCAAAAAGGGATATGACGATGTAAAAGGCTACGTTGACCCTTTAGCTGGCCAGGTTGCTCCTTTTTCCCTTAATGCTTTGCACAATCTAGCCAAACCCTGCGACTTCCACTCATCAGTCAATAATGTATTAAGTACCTGCTATACATGCCTGACGCTTTTATAATAGTTGAAACTTTCATACGTTGTTGTGCTTAATAGAGACGACAACAGGCGAATGAATACTTCCAAGTTGTACACCTATTAATTGATCGGTGTACCATTGAAAACGAATCAAGGCATGACGACGACGCGGATAATATGACATGCTCATGATTATCAATGTGCCAATCCTGCACACATGTCTATATGTAATTAAATTGAGTTTTTTTCTTCTGATAAACAACCGATTGAGCTATCTTCCAGTAGTCAAGTAATTTCGGTACTATAAATAACACTGGAGAGATTGCTTTGACCGCTGTTAATAAACATATAAATATAATATGTGTACAAATATGCATAATAGTGACGCAAATCAGACGCATTCGCTATTCTGCTATTAAACAATTAATAATGTAGTTTCTGTAACTAAGATGGAAAGCCTAGCATAGGCCAACTAAGCACGGCAGGTCCTTAATAACACGTGACACGTATTGCTTTAGTATATTGGTTAGTCAAGAAACTATGGATCTTTAGCGCAGAGAACAACTATAGACATAACATAACAATACTGAAACATATCTTTAGACCTTCCAATAGCAATTAGTACTCTACTGATAACTGTAGTACCGACCAGTTATATAATGATGATTAACTAGTAATCTTTAACGAACGTGCGATTCAGAAAGCTTGCTGTCCTCTCGGACAAAAATGTACCTTAATACCTATCAATATCAGGTCAGTTTTTCATTTTCTATCTTTAGCTAGTGCTTCATATAAAAAAAAAAAAGAAAAAAAAACTACTCTTATGCGCTAAAACGTATAGTTTAATCGGTTTTGTACGGTACTCTTCTCTTAGTTGACCAATAGACGGGTTGTTCAGCTAGTGAAAGAGGCATCAACGAGGGCGACTCACTTGGAACGTTTGCCTCTTGTCTTTAATTTCTTGCCTCCAAACTGCGCCGTATGGGTCCAAACCATTATGATACGACAAATCAAGATCTTCCTTATAAACCTGTTTAAATGAATTTCTATCTAACGCGTATTTAAATTTTCGAGGTCACCGACGTCTCATAAAATCAAATGCCATCATACATTTGTGTAGTCCCTTTTTTATCAATTTCCTTACTTTGATAATCTGAGTGGAGGCGGAGTTTGCGTTAATAACTTTACAGCATTTTTGAAGACTGTAGTAAAACATATCTTTAAGCTTCCACTAAAGCCAATGAGCTGGCTATGTTGAGACCAGAGTTTAACTGTAATTTCTTGTGATAAAAATTTTGCTGCCATTTTTGTTTCATCCCGATATCAATGTGACCTCCTTTTTTACGCACATATTTTCCTACTCTGCAAGCAATGATTTGCATATGGACAAACGATTCTGAAATGAGAATATCTCTTTATCCAATACCCCACTCTGTTGCTGTTAATAAAATGGATCATGGCTAAGTTATATCTGTGCAAATAGCGTCTGACGTCATTGAGATGAATTTTTTCGCAATAGAAGAGCCTGCAGCAGCTGATCATCATAATTCAGTTGTTGAAGTTTTCCGAGGCGTGATTTATGACTCGAATAGAGATTTTTTGACTTCAGAGCTCTGATGCCCATTTCCACAAAACACTGTGATGTTCCAGTTTACAATCAGTTCACAATCTGTTGCTTGTTGTCTCAGATTCGTATTTGTCAGCCCCGATAAAATAATATAAAGGCACTACTCAGGCGGAGGATATGCAGTTTTACTGATACAAGCTTTATTGCACGAAGGCTAATACAATTGAAATTAGAGGAAAACGTAGACGAGGCGGTAGACGTCAAATAGCGCCGATAGCAATCGTGCCCCGTTTAGAAGCAGACGGTCATCAAAAATGTTTTCCAAAAAGATAAGAGAAGATCAAACGTTGTCGAAACTGTTCTTCAATCGATCGAAAAAATCTCTATTATCATGCTATAAAAACATTTTGTAATAGTGCATATAAATTATTAGGATGAGTTATCTCTTCGTTTTACAGAAACATTTCAGAACAGAAACATACAGTCCGACGTCAGAGCAGAAAAAAGTTTAAATAACCAATAGAATGATAGTATACCGATGCCCAATAGCAAAGTACTGCTGACCAGAGGATAACAATCTGTATGTTGAAACTGGAACTTGTTGAATCCCAAAATTCAGCGAGAAACATGACCAAACATTACTGATATAGTTTCTGTTGAAGGAGCTGGGTCGATTGATATCACACCACAATAAAAGTATGGTGGTAGTAATAATAATATAGGGTAGTGACATGAACCCATGATGGAGCACCAAAAAAATTACAAAGCTCAAAATAAACGGTCCCGCCGCAACAATTATATGTATTAACTTGCTTAAATGAAAGTTGCAAAAAGAAAGCCTTAGATTCGTGTAAATAACAAATTGTATATCTACCAATAAAAGTTTAGCATAAATACGGCCCATACTATTTGTTTTCATTCACACATATGCAATTGAGTGTTTCTGAAATTTGAGTGACGTTTATCTTTTCGTATACGAGTGAAAAGGCCCGAAAGGTTCGCCCTGATCTTCCCACAGGCACCGACCAAGCCTCTTTTTTTGATAGTCTTGTGTATTTCCTAGAGTATACCTGTTGCGTAGCTTATTGACAGTCTAGTCTGCGCCCGTGCTCGTATTGAGAGGCTAAACCGGTGATGCTCCATGCATAAAAAATCATGCCGCGTATGTACGTATATTAGATTCCGTAGATACTTAACTTATCTATACATAATTAACTCCGTGCAGTGTCTACGACGATCCCGAAGAGCATGAGTCTGCCAAAATCTGTATGCGCTGTATGTTTATAGTTCATTGAACAAAGTCGAACTTCGACGATCGGACGACTTCAGAAGTGCCTGGATGACGACCAACTGAAAACAACGGCTGCACTCTCAAATGACAATAGTAAGCACAAAATATGTATCTAACTTTGAATGATTCTGTATGATTCCAGAAGGAAGCTCGAGTTGACGATTACGTCCAGTGTTAGAAGGCGTAAAAAGTACATGCCGTGGCGAACGTATCTTGGTCAAATAAATCTGTACGTTTTTCATTTTTATCATCTGCAAAACAGTTCGCCGATTGTTTAGAAATGAAATGGGCCTAACACAGAACATCGAAAGTACTTAGGTATTTACATAAAATTGTGTTAAGTCTTGTTGTTTGTGAAAGCCATGCATAAGGTGCCCTCCTGACCGGATGAACAACAAGTGGAGCCTAAAATATGATGAAAAATTAAATCAAGAACTAGAATATGTCAAAGATCGACAAATTAGTAATGAGAGCTGTGATTTAGAATCTGTTAAAAAAATCCGAGAAAAACCAATACAACTTCGCACGGGATAGTTTCACATGGGAAAACCAACAACGTGTTACTTACTCATGTGTATATACGTGTACGAAAATAATCCTGTGTATACCTATAATTTACTGGAACAGATTTAAGCTGACTAGTAGATATTAATCACTAAAGAATTCAATTAAAACGACCTTTGAATCTTAAAAGAGCTTCTACTAGAATTCTTGCTATATGGCGCAGCAAACAGCGATAAAGGTGCCCTTCCATACGGTTTTGCTTGTAGATATGAAACTACAAAACAATCAGGAAAACGGTGGATGATTTTCTTAATCAGGGCACAAAATAGGAAGAGAATTACAGGGACTGAATAATGGTGTCAAATGGGGCGAAGAACATACTGGTATCTTCTAACCTTTCCCTTCTATCTAACGTTTTTACGGCACGGTGAAAACAAGCAAGATGCAAATAATTCAATTGATGCGAAAGGATTGGGATGTAAGTATTGATATGCTAACTTTATCTATTTATTATTATATAATAAATTTATTGAAGGGCTGAGTTGGTCTGAATCGACGTGACATTCACTAACTTTGTCCGACGTTTGTGTAGATTCGTAATAGTCCTAATAGGTTTAACGCTGTCGTCTGTGAATGGAAAAACGGGTAACAACGATCGACGATACCATTTACAAATGTCATTCAATATGTACGCTATTCATGGCTTTACATAGTAAATAGGTCAAGTTTCCGTATTCGTACCTTAAGTAAGTTACACGGTTCTCGCTAACTAGTAGAATTTCAAGTGCTTAAGCGAAAAATATGCAGAGCAGTGAAAGAGATTAATTATAGTAAGAATAATGATAACAACAACATAGAGGAAGTAGGACGGGAAGAGTAGTTTAAGTTAGATAAACAGTTTAAGCTGGAAAATTAGTTATGGTGAACTAATAGTGAGATTATCTAAAGGACGCATAAAAAGGAGATTGTTAATAACGGAGCTTTTCAATATGCGGAATGACGAAATTTTTGTTTCGAAGGTCAAGCATAGAACTCCGGGTTTTCGGAAGCTGGCAACTTAGGCCCTGGCGTAACGATGGATAGCGAGGCGTAGGTGCGAAAAGAGTAAACAATGTACAAGAACCCTTAGAGGACTACCAATATCGTGCAGTAGAAACAGCGGTAGGTCCTAGCAACTAACTTGACGAAACCTTTATTTCATTCGTTCGGAAGATGAAGGAGTAGGAGAAACATCAGCTCAGTAGATTTAGCTTGCCATAAAAGAGCAGATACGGTTACAGGCAGTCTCGAAAACAAATGTACGCACAAGCTTTTCTTTGGGGTATGGATTGGCTAATCGGATCTAATGTATTAAAGAACTCTGCCAAGATTACAAGGTAATGTTGCTTGCATCCAACTAATGTATCAGAATTTTTCATAACGGAAGTGGTTGTTTCGCAGTGCTTGCGTAACCCATTAGATCGTGGCAAGGTTACTGACCGCAAGTCTGCATGCTATCTTCTTTGTAAATAGGTACTGTACAATAGTCATTAATCTAGCTCAATACAAAAATTAACCAAAGCAACCTGCGGGATAGCGAAGAGGCAATTACAACTGGCTTGTGCGTAGGGAACTGTCTAAGGAAGGAAAGCGACGACTGGCTTATTTATGTAGGACGAGTTCCAGGCTTCTGTGGTGCAGGACATGGACGAGGAGCTATATAAAGATGAAGTAGGAAGTCAGGCTGAGATTCCATAAGCATCTTCATTGACTAGGTCAATGCCAACGTAAGTGATATCATCAACGCTTTTGAAACATGGTGTATATCATTAAGCAAATTATCGGATAGGAAGTAAGAGAGAAGGGTGGTACCGTTGTTTTCTGGGTATCGAATGTTATAGTCACTGGCACTCTAGGGGTTTTATTTCAGTGAATTTATGTAAAGCGAGTTGTCCGAAATCAACAGGTTGGGTATTGATCTTCAAATCGATAATTTAACCTTCAATATGACGTAGAATTTGCATGTTACGACTGCGGACTTCTGAAAAATTCCACACAAAAAACTGCCAGAATGAAGAAAAATGCTTGTTTGAAAAGAACCGCCACGGAATTTCAAACGAATAACAATGGAGTTACTCAATGATTGCACATGGACGTTGGTCCAAATACGACCAGGGTAAGTGCTTGAACCCAACAGGGTAGGCGTGTGTCGATACTAAAATCACCTGATATCTATTTTCTCGACAGATATTAGCAAATAGACTTGGATGTCCATAAAGGGAGTCGCTAAGCGCATTGGAACGCTGAGACGTGGCATCGTGCCAAAATAATTACGACTATAAAGTTTAACCGAAACATCTTCTGTGAAATCATCAGCAGATATGAAATGTCAGATTTGAATTACCAGTAGATACCTTGATTTTGTGATGGTTTATGGGACTCATAGAGTGTTCGAAATGATATACTTCAACTTTTTTCAAGCAGCATTCGAATATACTACCTCATTGGGCTATTTATTGCGGTCTGGTAGATTGGCGACTTTCGAAGTGCACTGAAAACTCACAGGTATACTTGTTTTCTAATTGCTAGAGTTAGGTAGAAAAAAGTTCAAAGTAAAATCCAGGACTTGCGCAACTTAGCCAGCCATCCCGTATGAAGAGAGAACTTGAAAGATGTATGAGGAGGAAAGGATGCATGTAATCTGGGCTTGAACAAGTCACACTGTTCTGCTCTTAAATAAACTGGATTTGTAATATGCGTTGACTTATTGATTTCCATATCTTCGGCTGCTTTGGAGTACGTAAGATAAAAGCTCTTCAAATATCAAGAAGCCTTTGCCCTAAAATTCGATTACAATAAACATGTTGAAATAGTATACATTTATGTACATATGTACAAATAACACTGAATAAGATCTGAGAGTTCGGATGACAGAAAGTGACAAATGAAAATACGGCAACTATTTCAACATTGAGTAGCGCATAGCAAACGGAAAAAGAGCAGAACCATTTTCTGTTGATCGCAGAATTTGGACTCTTTTTACTATACTGTCTGTTGTGCATTGCATAAAAGGCCAACAATGTTTGTGATGCTTGCTTTGTTAACGAAACGCTTACTTATATAGATATGTCTGTAGCATCGAACATAATGCACTCGGCCTTTGCCCTACGTACTTGTGCAGGTGTTGTTGGTGTCTTTATAGAGCACGAAGGTAGGCGAATACGGTAATTGGAGGGAACGTGCATACGTGCCTCTAATAGCGTCAAAAAATTAATGATGTATTGCGGGCGCATCTTGAGGCTGTGACGAAATCCCAACGCGGTCACCTGAGCGATACGCTATTTAAGCAGCTTCAGTGATACATTGTGTGTCGGGTACACGAAAGGCTTTTCAGTGAGTCTAATTATATCAGTCTTGCATAATTAACGACTGCTACAAAATAACTATTCGCGACTTTAGGTAAACAAATTTAGAACATAAGTTGTGAGCGTACGAATATCTGTATTCATTTAGATACAGCTTATTAGTAAGTAAAATCAATCGTATTCTCATTTAGGTTGGATTATATATATATTCCGCTATTTAATCGCGCTGGTTTCGACGCTTTGTCTTCTCGAAATGTGAAGATCTAGGCTTACTGACACAACAATCAGTATACGCCCAGCTGGGTCGCAACTATTACGACTGAGCTGAAAAGCTTTTCCGCAGTTACCCCGTGAAAAATTACGAATTTAACCAAACAGTATATATTTGGATAAACGTTTTAGGGTTGCATTTAGTGAGTAAGACGTTTATAACATACTAACCATGTAGCACACATAGTCCCGTTCGAGACCTCGCATAATTCACGGGCTGAATTTCTACACCATGTTAATAGCACACGTATATATAATACTAATACTACTTTTAGAATGTTACGGATGAACATCAAGACACATTTGACTGAATAGACAATTCTGGGGTATCTGTCTATCTTCCAGTCGAAGCTATTTCTCAATGAGACGCGACTTCTACAGTTCTCACAAAGTATTTGGAAAGTTACGCAACTTTACGATATTCAAGAAGACGTGAAACTTGCCACACGTTTTATTTGTGCTACTATGCAGAATGTTAGAAAAAAAAAAAACAAAAAAAAAAACAGATTCTGTGGGCTTCTACAGAATCGTATTTCTTTTAGAATATTACTCAGCTTGGCTTTACTGGGTTCCATATCTCTCTTTAGAACTACGACGCTTCATTCCCCTGAATCATTCTAGAATCCCGATTGTTTTCTTAAGTATTACCCCGGTATAATCATTTCGTACAAAAATATTCTTATGTATTTGGCGTAGGAGTTTTTTTCTACTAAAGTCGAACCCAGCGATTTATGAAACTTTCTCTACAATAATGACAATGCTTCCGGTGACAAGGTCCCTTGTCGAATGTTCCATTATCATACGAAGTGAAAAGTTAAGTTTCTATTGAATCCACCGTCACGACAACCTGAAATGCCAGCGCTAGCTGAAAAAAGATTAGATTTATGTAAAAATAAAACACATTTAGCACTATTACGGATCAAGCGCAGCGGTAGCCTTTTCTATTCATTATTCGTGACGTGGCTGATTCGTGGT